AAAAATGTTAAATTGTTTATAAGCTCACTGTTTACAAAGTCTGAGAACAGGATTTGAGATAATAAGCACATAAAAAACTAACAAAGACTTAACGATACGAATATAGAACTTTAGTTTCGGCCATGACACTTGCGACTCAACAATAGTTAGTAATTGTGAATGATTTGGTTCCTTTAATGTATTATTATCTGTACATACAGCATTATAACTTTGTCTAACTTCGTTAACAAAAAATAGTACATCATATGGATTCCCATCAACCTCCATTAAATGTCCATACTTTTCTTTACTCATTTGATACGTTACAGGCATGATTGTTAAAATTTGGATATTCGAGATCTTAAAAGTTTATCACTGGTTTTTCCCATAAAATGTTATAACAAAAATAAAATAAAAATTATTTACATTATTAACAATTCCTCAAGTATTCCTAAGTTGCTCCTGAAATCCAAGTCCAAATGATAAGTTCTCACTGGGGTAAAACTCCAAGAGTACCTAGCGAGAATTTCGTTAGCTGTGCCTTCTATCTTCTTAAGTACCAGAGGTCTTCAGATCCTTGTAGTATTCCTGATAGTACAAGAGATGGAGTCTTCCTGTGGTCTTCAGACAGAAAATGGTCAAAAACGGTCAGGAATTTTTCAAACACTAGTCGAACCCAGCCCCTGTGTTCGGGCACCAATTATAAACTCGAATCCACGAACAACTTAAAAAAAAATTTATCGGTATGAAAACAGTACAATGTTACATAATGAGAGCTACAACACTACTGAGACATGAGCTACTATCTGCTACTGCTTACTACTAAGACCTATATATAGTGGTGGGGAGAAGTTGCTGATGCTGCAGTCCAATATTAGGGGAAATGGTGTCTAACTGTCTATATGGCCATAGAAAGTATCCTATGCTTGCGGCATAAACTGTCATTTACCTTAAAATACCCTTGGGTAAGCAAAGGTCAAGGAATAATGTATATATACATTCATAGATGTATGTTGTAAGTAGTGTTAAATAAAGTTTCTGGGGGGTTGGGAAAAAAAAAAAAAAAACTGTGTATATGCCAGCCCACATCTTTTACCTGGAGAGCTCTCCGTTGGTGGCTTCTAGTGCTGGAGACGTTGTTTGGCCAGTGGGCACCGGTGGAATGGGCAGATACAACCAGCTCCTCTCAGGGCTTAAGTGTTATCTTTATATTTTAGATCAGCCACCACCACTCGCCGTAACGCGGGCTATTTAAACAAAAGAAAACTCCTCTTTGGCACAACCAGGCTCTTTTCCACGATTTGGGAAAAATTGAATTATGGAGAGAGAAATTATATATGTGTAGAAGTGAGGGGTAGTAAGGCTGGAAGGCAGAGTTTGATAGCTTTAACAGGTATTTGGTCAAGACCATAATCATTCGTTTTGGATTTAAGGGTGGCAGAGAGTAGCTCAGTAGGAGAGATATCGAGAAAATAAAACTTATCAGGATCGAAGATGGTTTCGGTAATGAAAAAAGATAAGCGGTCAGATGGAAATGTGGATGGAAAATGGTTAGTGAAAAAATAAAAAATAATTAGTAGGTAACTAAGTTGATAAAATATGACATTTCGGTAACTTTTCACGAATTCGAGAATCAAATAGTTTCAGACTACTTTGTAGCAATAATAAAATCTGACCAATATTTAGAAACTTTTTGAGACGGTAGCTGTTTAGGCAACTTTTCTGATTATGGCAAATAACTCTCATGAGTTTCAATAAGGTAACATTTAAAATGTTGGGCAACATTCTAATTTTAAGCAGTGGACTGTATCTTAATGGATTGGTAGGTTATAATGATTGTGCAAAAAATAGCTTACCAGCTATATGCCAGCTTACATCTTTTGTTACCTCGAGGGCTCTCCTCGTATCTGCCGTGACTTCTAGTGCTGGAGTGGTATGCTCAGTATGACTGTTATAAGAGAAGTGGGCAGAGGCTTAAGTGTTATCTTTTATCTTTTAGATCTGCCCCACCACTCGTCGTAAAAAGGGAAACTCAAACCATTCTTTGGCACAACCAGTAGAACTTATTAAGTGCGGGTCGACATGACAAAAAATTGGAATCCGTTGGTCCAAGAGTTTTTCCTGCTACCTATTTCAATCTATCTATTAAATTTATGAAAAATGTTGATCAATTTGATAAACGAAAATTCCAAATTAATGGACACACAAATCAATGTTATTATTTAACCATTAACTATGCTGTGTGGTAAGAAAATGTAGTTTTTTATTTTATATTTCATAAAATGCTAGTTATCTATTTACATATTGTATATGATATAGTTATCTATATCATTGAATGATAAGCAGCATCTAAAAAAATGAGGGTATACCCACGTAATCATGCCGGTACTGTGCCAGTTTATGTACACTAGGTTATATAAAATAATCAATAAAGAAACAATAGAGATGACGTTTGTATTAACAAAAGAAGGCAATGGATCAGCTGATGCGAAAGTTGTGTTCTCAACTCGTCTCTCTGTGTTTGCCAAATTTTTCAGCGGAATCTCTCTGATTATTCACGTAATACAGTTCAAGTGTACATCAGAGTAGTTGATATTTACTGTTGACATACTTTTTGTTATTTTTAATTTTTTCTTTATTTTTCTATATGATATGCAGTATGATCAGCAAGTGATGGCCAGTAAGGTGCCCAAGAGGACTCGGTCAGACGGCGTTAGTACACCTCGTGGTTCACAAGCCAAACAAAGAACTCGTCGCTGCCTACGAGAAATACATCCCAACAACAAAAGTGAACACTTCAGAACCAGAACCTCAGCCTCAACCAGGAACTTCTTCGCATCGAAATGATCGAAGAATCTCCTTTCTTTCCAAACCCTTACCAAGTGCTTCAAAATGACCGAGAGGTAAGTCTGCAGCTATACCCAGAGAACGAAGGCCTCCTCCGATATTTGTGCAAAATATCAAAAATTTCCAGTTGTTATGCACCCAACTAAATAAAATCTGCTCAGGCAGTTATTCATGCCTTAAAAAGACCAACGATACAAAATAACACCAAATACTACTGAAATCTACCAAAAAAAAAGAGTGAAGTACCTGTCAGAAACGAATGCAAGTTTTCATACGTACCCGCTTAGGCAGGAGAGATCGTCACGAGTAGTAATAAGAAATTTGCCCTCCTCAATCCCCACTGAAGTGATCAAAGAAGAACTAACGACGCTTGGTTTCAATGTACGTCAGGCAACCAACTTCTTAAAGGAGAACAAGGAGTAGTCACAATTGTGAAGGTAGAGCAACTATACCCCAAGAGGGAAATCGAGCAGTGCCATTGTGAGGCATACGGCCACAAGAAGACTTATTGTCACTATCTGCCGCGTTTCGTGAAATGCAGCGAACAACACAAATCTGTGGATTGCAATAAACCTGGAGGGATACCCGGCCAACTACAAAGGCTGCCAAATTTAAAAATAAAATTCCATATTTTATTTATTTTATGGTGACATATTGTCACCATCTGCCACGTTGCGTGAAGTGCAGCGAACAGCACAAATCTGTAGAGTGCTTCAAACCTATACAAGATCCTGCAGTATGCCCTATGGTCGAAAGGACACCCGGCCAACTACAAAGGCTGCCAAATTTACAAGAATCTCAAAACCAGATACCAGAAAAATCGGATTCAAGATGAAACATTAAGACAAAGAAGAGAGAGTGAGCCTTCTAGAATTGTAAGCAATGATTTATCATTCTTCCAACTACTTAGAGGTAAGAATTCAACCGATAAATGTCAAGCCCTGCCACCTCAACCCCAACATCAAAATCCTCTACATCCTATTATATCAAACCACCAACAACCAATTCATCATATTCCTCCTCGTTCAAATGCAGCAGATCTCACCAGTTTGTTAGCATCTTTCATCACCGATTTCAAATCCCTTGTTACTCCACAAAAAAATCCTTAAATGACTCACATTCCAACTTTGGAATGAAAATGGTGTTAGAAATCATACAGACGAACTATCTACTTTACTACTTGACAAGAACATTGATGTGGCACTAATTACTGAAATTCGACTAACCACTAAACAACTCTTCAGAATACCGCAATATTTGGCATATCGTACTGACCATTCTGCCGGTAGAGCAGATGCCGACACTGCTGTCATTGTACACCAATCCATGTCCCATCACCTACTCCCATTACCTGCTCAAGATTTCCTGCAATCCACCGCCATTGTAATCAAAACCTTCTCCTTTCCCGTCACCCTAGCATCAACATATTGCCCTCCTAACAGATCCATATCCAATGACCAGTGCCGTTCTTTCCTTAATTCCTTAGGACTTCACTTCAGCCTGGGTGCAGACTTAAATGCCAGGCATCAAGAATGGAGTTCATAAACCACGAATTTTCGTAGCAGATCCTTGCTGTCTGCACTCAATTCCTAAAGTTTCAGCCTCCTTCCTCCCAACTCGCCTACCTACTGGCCATCTGATCCTAACCGCAATCCTGATATTCTCGGTTTTATTATACACAGTGGTTTAGGTCCCCTCAATTAATCTCTTACCCGACTTGATGAACGTTCCTCAGACCATAGTCCATTAATACCCCAATTATCTCTTGCTCCTATTTCTGAACCCTCTCCACCGTCCTTCATTAGAGGTCTAGTTAACTGGAAACTCTTTCATCAGATCCTTTCAGTAGATAGAGAGAAATGCCTGAATCGGAGTTCCCTCTCCTGATTGTAAATAGCGTATATAGGTATGCATGTGTTTTTTGCTTTGTTTTAATTTTCTTTTTTTTAAGTTATTTTATTTATTGTACGTAATTTTTTATTATTATTTTGTTTATATTTATTTTTTTGCACATATAGTGTAAATGTTATCCTACCTCACCATAATTAATGTCCAAGTGACAAATTTTGTAATACTCAATAAATAAATAAAAAAAGTAAATTTCAAATCAGCATAGCAGAAAAAAATCTTTGCATGGTAAGTAAATTGAAACATTATACTAATTTTTATTTTATTTAGACGTAATCATATAAATATAGTGAAAAAAATATTTTTAATATTAAAATAATAATAATTTTCCTATCTAAAATTATAATATAATCTCGGGAAAAAGATCTGGATGGGGGATCGAGAGAAACGGAGTATACAACATCTTTCAACCACTTTTTAGCTACATCCGTTCTAGCGAAAACCGCCGGATTCCCTGGCCTAGCACAACCTTTGCCCCAGGAAATAAGGCCCCAGATCACACCATTGCAAGCTAATGGTCCTCCGGAGTCACCCTGGCAGGCGTCATTTTCTTCCATGTCTTCTAGAGTACAAAACTGGATTCCTTTTTTTATTCGCCCCACTGCAACAATAAAACCAACAAATATTTACTAATACGCAAAAAGGAGCTAGCTTAAATTGGTTTATCTATTATTGGATTATGAGTTCGGCTAGAGCCGGTGACAGAGACACGTCGGATAGGTTATAATAGGTATAATAACCTATATAGGATAACTACTAGATAGGTTAGTTTACCTAGGCCTCATTTTTAAGTAAATAATTTTATAAAAGTAAATAGTTTTATATATTTTTATAAACCATTTTCAACTATTTTTTCTGTAAATAGTCAAGTGGGCAATAAACTGAAGAAAACAAAAGTGGAAACTTCACAATTTACTGTCAGGTATATCTTACTTGCATTTTTAGCAAAAAAATCTTCACGGACTCCTAGAAGATATTCCGCTAAGCATTAGGCAAAGACTGTGGTTTATGCATGACGATGCTTCAGGTCACTTTTCTAATAGTGTCACTGATTATTTAATTGCAGCTCATGGAAACCGATGGGTTGGTTGAAACTAACCTCTTAAATGGCCACCATGATCTCCGGATTTAACGTCATTTGATTATTTTGTGTGGGGCTGGATGAAGTCTATGGTTTATTCTGCGACACAAGAAGAGCTAAGAAATCGGATCTTTGAAGCCGCTGAAACTATCAAGGACCATCCTGATACAATACGAAGAGCCATAGAAGCATGGATTCGTCGTGATGGATGTTGCATTCAACAAAACGGAGGTCCCTTTGAACAGTTACTCTAAATGCTGTAATAATATTAAACACTTATATACTTTATAGGCGTTCTATCTAAGGGTTGCCTCACGCGGTCAGCGCAGAGCTCCACGCGTTTCTATTTCGCCAATCATCTTCCTCCAGACCTCGACCTGCCATTTCCTCCTGCACCCTCTCCATCCACCTGCTTCTGGGTCGTCCACGTCTTCTCTTCCCTGGCGGAACCCATTCCAGGGCAAGGCTCGGCCAACATTCCTCCGTCATTCTTCTCACATGCCCATACCCTCTTAGGCAGCGTGCCCCGATCTTTTCATTAATCGCTGTACCCTCATCCATTCTCTGTCGAACTACCTCATCCTTAATTTTATCCGGTCTGGTAAGACAGAGACACCTTCTCCAGTAATCCATCTCGACCGCTTAAAGATGGTGGATGGCGGATTTTAAGTGGGATGGAATTCCAAAAGGTGGTGGAGCGGACAATAAAGGAGTGTTGAAATGTGATCTTGCTGAGGGGGAGTGGATAGATGACTTGAATAGAAGGAGATTGAATGCGTAGGACGGACGATGATTATAGATTATTTGGTAAATGTACCTAGGAAAATATTTCCTACAATAGTCTTCTGAAGAAGGGAAAGAACCACCTTAACTCGGCTTAGTAGTGGGAAACATGAGAACGTCTCGGGGTTCCATAGACAAATTGTACTAACCCATTCGTGATTCTTTTCAGCCTGTCTCGTGGGGGAAGATGAGGGCGGATACTAGGAGTCTACGTGTGGACATGGGTAGGAGATGGCGGAAGCGATGGAAAAGATTCAGGATGGAAATTGCACGTCGGGATATGTGGGAAATGTGGTGATTCCAGGAGAGGGTATGAGGTATGAAAACACCTAAGTTTTTAACTGAAGAGTTGAAGGTGATAGGTTGGTCATTCAGGTACAAGAGAGGAATATTGGTATTGGATCTGAGAAGGGGTTTGGAACCAATGACAATGGCTTGGGTTTTAGCAGCTTTTAACCTTAATCCATTTTCACTTGCCCAGGCACAAATCCGATTTAGGTCTTCTTATATTTTGGCAAACGCATCATCCCACTCTGAGGGAGCAAAGGACAGGTAAATTTGGGAATCACCGGCATAAAGGTGATGGGAACAGTGAAGGATTGATTTATGAAGGCCGTTAATATATGAACTAAAAAGGAGAGGAGATATGCTAGAGCCCTGTGCCACTCCTGAGGACAGAGTTAGATTAGATTAGAGTTAGTCAAGTTGGTTGGACTGTTCTAGGAAGTTGGAAACTTTATTATGAGATAAAAGTTGCTCATGTGAGATGAATTAAAGCTGAGCAAGTAGTTCCCCCTCACCCTAAATATCCAGTTACAAATTCCTAAATTTTCTGCACAGTAGGAACAACTTCCTTCGTTTAAATCATTATTTTATTCCTTAATTCATCATCGAAATTACACGGATATAGTCAAATTTTCTTATCTCAAGTAACTTTTAATGTAGGCCATTTCTTCAATTGAGTTTAATGCAGAAAATTACAACTTGGCATATGATAAATTAGTGAAGCGTTATAGTAATAAAAGGATCATTGCGGCCTACTATCTTAACAAAATTATACGGTTTAAAACACTTTCTGTTTATAATTCTTCAAACTTTAAAAACTTTCTGCATTCATTTGAAGATAATTATAATGCTTTAAAAAATCTTAAACTCAATAACCTCGCTGATTTTATTTTACTGCATTTCGGACTGAACGTAGTAGACCCTAAAATACCAGAAGAATGTTTGAGAATCAGTCTCAGTTCCTAGCTTTGAATAATTTTGTAAATTTGTTATGGCACAACTAAGAGTTGCAGAAATGTGTTCCGTGCCTTTTACATCCAAATTTTTACAGCCTAAAGTTCAGCGAAAACCAGCAATACTCCCGATAAACAGAGATTTAAGTTAAAATGTAAATCTAACTGCAAATCAGGCCATAAAATTATAAATTATACACAAGCCCTCAGTTTCAGGATACTGATGTTAATAATCGTTATGACTTATTAAAGAAGTCTGATTTGTGCTTTTCTTGTTCGGGACCTCATCGCTTGTCTAAATGCCAAATATGCTTTTCTTGTACCACATATGCCAAAGTTGCCAAGTTTGTGGCAAAAAGAGTCACCATGCGATGTTACAAAAGCCTCCAAACACTGAGCCCTCCCCGTCTCGAGTAACAAACTCTCGCGTATTCTCGCGCAGTTTCTTGCCATGTTACCACCAACTCCCAGGTACTTCTGGGTAGTGCCTTGGCTAGAATTTGTTCAAGTTCAGATCAGTGGTATTCATGCAGAATGGTGATAGATTCAGGTTTCCAAATCTATTTAATTACTACTGATCTAATGAAAAAGTTACGCCTTCGTTCCCGGATTAGTTCTCTTGTGGTGTCTGGAGTAGGAATTACCTCCATATCTTCATCTTCAGCTGAGGTTAAAGTGACTGACGTTGAGTTCGAAGATATATATATATGTTTTCAGCCGCAGAATTGCCCTGCGTCGGTGGAACTTTGCCTTCTTTTGCCATTTCTCAAGAAGTACAGAATAGATTTGATTCAATTGACCTTGCGTACCCTCAATTTCATACGCCGTGAAAAGTTGATCTGCTTTTGGGTACTGAGATGCACGGTGAGGTTTTAAGTGACCCTATTTTATTTCTGAAGTGTCAACCGAAAGCTATTCATACCTCATTAGGATGGGTATTATTTGGGGACACCCTCTCCGAAAGCCAAAGCCCTATACCTTCAGTACGTATTCTTTTCTCGCAGACCAGCCTTTCATTACAGGAGGAATAAAAGCGATTTTGGGAGACCGAGGAAATCACAGTTTGGATTCCGCCGAATCCTGAAGATGCATTTTGCGCAGATCACTATATAAATACATGCACTCGTGATCTCCAGGTTACATTCGTTGTTTCGCTTTAGAAATCTTAAAATATATTTATGAGGTATCGGGAGTATAAGTCTGCCTAAGCTGTACAGATGGACAAATATGAAAGACTGGATCATGCCCGCTTCTCCAAGAACCCTTCTCTATACGGGTGGAAAGAAGCTATTGGACCTGCACACTTCAACCTCACAAGAGGAGGACCCGCGCCAGAGAGGCTGCCGGAACACGGAGGAGCGGAATAAGACCATATACAACAAATTTAAGTATGAAAATTGTTCTCGCTGCAGAAGCAGGCTGTTATGCAGTGACGTATAACTGCCTAGATCTCCAAAACACGTATTGCCTCAATGGCAAGGTAGGGTTCAAATAAATGTTATGTCATAACCCATCATGCAGTCATTAAAGATTCTTCCACGACAAAGCTTAGAGTTATATTTAACGGTTTGGAGAAGAATTTGTAGAGGAGGAACTCATTGAATGATTTACTTTTGACCGGTCGGCAGCTCCAGACTGATATTGCGGAACTTATTCGACCATTTTAGATGCTTTCCTGTGACCGTAACATGCGATATAAAAATTTGTTTAGGTGTATCCGCGTTTATTACGTTTTTTTTGGAAAAGTGAATATTCACAGCCGATCAAGGAGTATGAGTTGGTTATCGTGCCATTGGGGTTGAAATGTTCTCCCTTTATTGTTCAGAAATTCATTGTACAGTTATTTCGGGAAGAAGACCGTAATTTTCCTATAACTGCTCAGTGTCATGATCAGATTTAAGTAGACAACGTAATCACTGATGCTCGCAATACTGATGAGGCTCTGGAACTGCATAATGAGTCGATGGTCTTATTTGGAGTAGGTGGATTTGAACTCAGAAATCTGGATGGAGATTCCTCGAATGACAAGTTTTTGGGTTTCTTTTGTGATCCTGAATTCGATCATTTCAGGTTTACAATACAGGAGAGTGAGCCTATTTTTACAAAGCGAGATATTCTATCCTTCATTGCCAAAATATTCGATATAAATGGATATATCAGCCCGGTAATTTTTTCTGTTAAATGTATATTACAATGTTTGTGGCTGCTTAATTGAGGTTAATTGAGATGATGAGTTGCCCTATCGTGTGTCTTCATTGTGGAAGGTTATCCTTCGAAAATTTCCTAGCTTGAGAAATGTTTGCCTGCCTCCTTGTATTTATAGCCTGAACGCATTATCCACGCAGCTAATCGCCTTTTCAGACGCTTCCAAGAAATGTTACAGGTGGCTGATCTATGTGATGTTGGGTGTTGGGTGTCCAGGTGAACATAACAAAATTCATTTGTTAAGGGCAAAAAGTAAGGTGGCTCCACGAAGTAAGGTGGTCCATAAGTTCCTCGTTTGGATTTAAACGCTTCTCTTCTTGCCTCCAGACTACTTGCGTTTATTGATAAACTTAAATGTCGTTTGAGAATTAATGAAGTATATTGTTTTTCGGATTCTCGTAACGTACACTATTGGTTACAGACTTGGATTGGTCACCTCATGAACTTAAGTTTTATGTTGCCAATCGCGTAGTACTGATTTTAGAAGTAACAGAACCCAGTAGTTGGCACTATATTCCTACAAAACAGAATCCAGCCGATTGATTATCGAGAGGCCTCATACCAAACCAGATACTTTCCCATTAGCTTTTTTGGAACGGACCGGCATTTATTTCCTTATCTCCTTCTGACTTGCCTATTTACCATATTGAACCTACATCCGTTCTGCCTTAAGTAAAAATAATATCTCTGTTAGCGGCTGAAAACCTAATGGTTTGTTGATTTATCTGAAAACATATTTGAGCCTTTTAAAGCTGCAAAGGGTTTTTGCTTTTATTTTAAAATTTATTAAATGTTGACAGCCCTTTCATTATGAAGATTTCAGGTAAGCGCAATGCTCCTAAGTCGAAATGTTGGTTGGCACCCTTTTTATGCATGTCTACCAAAGCCATCCATATAGAACATGTGACGGACGTATCCACTGCTTTATTTATTGCCACATTAGACAGACGTGGTTTGCCTTCACATATTCATAGTGACTGAGGAACAAACTTCGTTGGAGCATCCAGTAAATTGAAGGATCTTTATCAATTAACTAAGGGCCAGAGCGAAACCATTTCTAACCATTTAAGTCGGACGGGTATAAAGTGGGCCTTTACTCCTCTAGCATCTCCTCATTTCGGTGGTATTTGGGAGGCAGCTATTAAATCTGCGAAGAGACACATTCTTGCTGTTCTTCAGGATCATGCGTTAATTTTGAGAAATTTAATACACTTCTGGTGCGAGTTGAAGCCGTTCTCAATTCCCGCCCTATCAGTAATATTAGCAGTCGGCCTTCGGATAACCTGAATTACCTCACCCCAGGACAATTTCTTATTGGTCAACCCCTCCTAGCCCGACCAGAACAAGAAGAAGCACCTTTATTTCCTTTGACAAGCCGTTGGGAGATGATTTCCAGGAATCTTCGTAATATTCGGAAAATATGGTATAATGAGCACCTTCTCTACCTCTCAACAAGTGGTATACTGACAGGAAAAATCTAAAAGAGGGAGTTTTATTCTATATAAAAATGATGTTCCACTGCAGGAGTGGTGGCTTGCCAGGATAACAGAGACACTTATAGGGCCTGACGGTGTAGTTAGCACGGGCGGATCTACGGGGGGGGGGAGCTTTCGGGCTGAAGCCCCCCCCAAAATGGGAAAATATAACCATGTTTTATGGAAAAAAATATTAAAAAATACCTCTTACAGTATTATTGTTCGTGTAATTACATTTAAAAGTACTTAAGGAATAACTTAAACACCATTTCATATAGGTAGTTAGTTTCTTTCTGTTTTTCCAAAGTAATTATCGTTATTTTTATGAAAAAAAAAGGTTTCGGGCTGAAGCCCCCCCCAAAATTAAATCCTGGATCCGTTAGTGGTAGTTAGGGCGGTAAAATTGAGGACTGCTAGAGCCACATTGGTGCGACCGGTGCACAAGTTAGTGCCTCTCCTATCTGGAGTCATTTTATTTTAAATGAATTGTAATTTATTAGCCTCGCTTTGATCTGGCTCACTTTATCTGGCTTCTAATTTTCCGTAAATATATTTTGAATGATTTCTATATTGTACATCAAGCTATTTCCCTCTCGTTTAAACATCTGGTAATTACCAATCTATGAGTTTAATTTTTTTCTTTTTTTGTGTGTGTGAAATGAGATATTTCACGGTGAGGGATATATTTTGTGTGAGAGCCCATTGTCGAGTTAAGACGAGTGGTTAGGGCAGATCAGATAAGAGCTAAAAGATAAAATTTAATCCGCGCGAGACTATCTCACCCCATTCAGCAGCATAGATTTCCAGGGACAATGACTATAGCAGACTGGAGCGACCTCTCAGTTAAGTAAAATGTCTATGCCAGAATAAAAGGGTAGGTCCATTTTAGACAATTTATATAAACTACCACTTTTTAAAAATACGGTCCATTGCCAAAATAAGTCGAATGTTGCCTAAGTTACTCCTCAGAGTTATTTCCCTTTTGCCTATTGTATTTAAATCTGCACCTAGGAGGAAGTGGTGTCCTAAGGAATCCAGGAAGGAAACTATTTGGGATTCGGAAATGGGTATTTTAGGCGGGGAATATGCCGCAATTAATGTTATTGGGTAAAGGGAAGTTTGGATTATTATGGCAGTGGATTGTAGGAAATTATGGGTTGGTAATGGAAATAAATGATGGGAGAGAGATCGATGGATAATTATGGCAGTGCCAGCATGTGCTGTTCTATCAGGATGATCGGTTCTATAAATATTGTAGCCGGGAACGTTGATTTGTCTTTTGTTGGTTAGTCGGGTTTCAGTTATTAGTGCTATGTCGATGTTTTTGTCATATAATAAGATTGTCAATTCTTTGATGTGATTTCGAATACCATTCGCATTCTATAGGAGAATGGAGAGGGACTTGGTTGAAGACATTTATTTATTTCTCGACGGTAGAATGAGGTCGGATATAACATTGGTAAGTAATGAAATAAGAAGGGTGATGAGAGATATAAATTCAGAGAGCAAAAAAGTTAATAGGCTTGTGAGGTCAGTGAAATTGGAAGGAGAAAGAATGAATGCCTGGGTATTGAACCTAGGTCAGGGATGAAGGGATATGGTTCTTGAGGTTGATTTGTGAGTTCTCGAGGTTGAGGTTCTTGTGGCAGGGCCTGAGATTAAGTGTTTATAGTGTCTCCTTATTTGCTAATGTAACTGATAAAACTATTGTTTCACATTGAACTTGAACACTGCCACTATTAATAGAGAATTTTATAAGGGACGACCTGACTAATGTTTTGATAGAAAAAAAAACTTTATTCTGGGACTAAATCCCTTCAGAATAACAATAATGTACAAAATAATAGAATATTACTGGCCTGTACGTTTGAAACAATAAATAAAATTGATAAAATAAAATAAAAAATAAAGAAAACCTTAGGTGCACAAGCTATATACAATACAGATAAAACTATGTACAAATCATTTAAAATTATAAACAAAACAATTAAAACTATGAACGAATCACTTGAACTATGAACAAAATTATATATAATGGTTGAACAACATAAACATACACTTTGAGAAATGAAGAACGAAAAAGAGATACAGTGAGTTCATTTTATAAAATAAAATAAAAAAACTTTACTTGAATATATATAAAAATAAACAGTTAATTATAATTGAATAAAAAAAAAAAATGTAAGTATTTAAATTCATACGTCGATAGTAGGAAAATGCATGTACTATCTCTAGTATCAAGTATTATGATTATATGATTGCTACACTATACATATATAATATTAATAGTTAGCTGGTATCTGACTGTTTTTGGAACAGGAATTGGAATAGGAGGTTTTTGAATGTGTATAGGGAAGGGGCATGTCGAATTTTGATCGGAAGGGAATTCCAAAAGTTGACAGAGCGGGCTATAAAGGAATTTTGGAATGAGGCAGATCTATGAGAAGGGATGTATAGGTCAGAGGGTCGGGATCTTGTAGTGAGGGAATGGATTGAGGACTTAAATTGGAGAAGGTTGTAGGCATAAGAAGGAATTGCCTAAAGGAAAGTGCCTAGGAAATATTGTCTTCTTAAGGAGGGGAAGAGCCACCCTAACTCAGTGTAGTGGTGGGAGACACGGGAGCTTCTCGGGGTCCCAATTACAAATCTTATGAAGCTATTCATAAGTCTTTTGAGTCTATCACGGAGTTCCACCGAGAGGCCATCGTACACCACACAGCTGTAGTGGGGAAAGATGAGAGAGGAAACTAGGAGTCTACGGGTATTTTGGGGTAGAAGATGGTGGAAGTGATGGTAGAAATTGAGGATAAAAATTGTACGGCGGGATATATGAGAGATATGGTGATTCCAGGAAAGGGTTTGATCTATGAGAAAGCCTAAATTTTTAACAAAGGGATAGAAGGTGATGAGGTGGTTGTTTAGATAGAGTGAGGGAAAGTTGGTGTGGGATCTAAGAAGAGGCTTGGAACCAATGAGAATGGCCTGAGTTTTGGTAGCATTTAGCCTTAATCCATTTAAGTTGGCCCAGACACTAATTCGATCTAAATCTTTTTGAATTTTGGCAAATGCCACCAATAACTCAGCGGGAGAAAAGGATAAATAGATTTGAGAATCGTCGGCATAAAGGTGGTGGGAACAATGGATAATTGACTCATTTAGGTCATTAATATAAGAGCTGAAAAGAAGAGGAGACATGCTTGAACCCTGTGCAACTCCAGAGGATAAAGGAAGGTAGGCAGATAGAGGTTGATTAGGTATGGAAACTGCTTGGGTTCGTTGTGAGAGAAAAGACTGGAACCAAGAGATGGAACTATTGGAGAAGGATAATGATTTTAATTTGTTGAAAAGGATGGAATGGATAATGGAATCAAAAGCTTTGGAGAAATCAAGAAGTATAAGTATGGTTAGTTTTTTGTCATCTATTGCAGTGTGAATATCACTGGTAATTTTAATCAGAGCAGATTGTGTAGAGTAGCCAGGACGGAAGCCAGATTGGAGAGGATCGAGTTGGTTGGATTGTTCAAGGAAGTTGGAAACTTGGGATTGCACTAACCTTTCTAGGGGTTTAGAAAGATTGGAAAGGATTGGTATTGGGCAGAAATCTTCGGGAGAGGATGGATTAGGCTTTTTGTTTAAATTAAGGACAATGGCTTTTCTCCAAGAGGTCGGGAATATTGAATTCTGTAGGGAGAAATTGTAGATGAAAAGGAGTGCTGGGAGGATTTCAGGGAGACATAATTTCATTAGTTTGATAAGAATGCCATCTGGGCCTACGGAATTGGAACGGGATTTCATTATAACGGTAATAAGATCTGTGGGAGAAATGTCGGAAAAATAAAAATTATTGTCGTTAAAAGGTACCTCTGGAGAAAAGCCGGAAGGGGAGGGTAAAGAAGAGGTGGAAACCGATATAAAGTGGGAGTTTAGGTCATCAGATGATATTGGGAAAACTGAGGAAGGGGATCTAGAAGGTTCACAGAGGGAAAGCTTACGAAGTAGAAACCATTTTGATTTGATATCAGGAGCAGAGGAAAGGGCTTCATGAAAGTAGTTCGCTTTCACTTGTCGGATCCTTGTCTGTAACGTGTTACGAAGCGTTCTGAATGTTTGATAATCATCTGCAAGCCTAGTCCGTCTAAAGCGTCTGCGTGCAGCGTCGCGTCTCTTCTGCAGATCCTTAATTTTCTGACACATCCAAGGAGCAAGGCGATGACGAAAGGTGGAGGTTTTGAGAGGAGCTTGAGTATTGAGTATATTGAGAAGATTAGTGGTGAGAATATCAACCATGGTGTCGACAGAGGAGACATATATGATATATATCTTCCATGTATGATATATTCCATTCAAATCCAATGTTACTAGATCAGGTAATATTTTTTCTCGAGTAAGGGTATCCAGTTGGTGGAATGTGATAGTTCGAGGATGGATTGGAGGAGTGCGGATATTATACGTTATTTGTATCAGATCGTGAGATGAAAGAAAGGATACTGGCAATTGAGAGGCGGAGAGGAGGTTTTGTGCTGAGTCGATGATGCAGAAGTCTAGCCAAGTGTCAGATCTACTGGTGTGGTGGGTGGAGGAAAAAGGAACGATGAATAGGTGATGTGAGAAAAACAAATTCCTTTTCTAAATAGGATTTGTCATTGGAGTTTGAGAGGAAATTGGTATTGAGGTCACCGGAGATAATTATTCTGGGATAGAGGGGAACGAAGTTGAATAGGGTTGATTTGAAGGACGGGTCAAATGGCACGAGAGGAATGCGATATAGCACTGCGTAAAGGATAGGAGAGGTATTACTGAGAATTTCTACTAAGAGGTATTCTACATGAGGATGATCTGAAGGTGGGGAGCAATCAAGGATTCGGGTCTTTAGGCGATTGTGGACAAACATGGCTACCCCACCGCCAGTCCGGTTTACCCGGTCATGACGGAGCAGGATGTAATTTGGTGGGCGGGGTAGCCGAATGGGCTAACGCGTGTGCACTGCACCGTCGTTGCCCGGCAACCTGATATATAAGACTTGGATAAAAAAAATAGTCACGAGTTCGCGTCCCGGTGCCCGGAGGAGTTTTTAAATCCCCGCCCACACTCCCTGGCCCGGGAAAACCCCGTATAGCCTTAAAGGCGAGGAAGGGGAGGACAAAAAAAAAAAAAAAAAAAAAAAAAAAAAAAAAAAAAAAAAAAAGCAGGATGTAATTAGGCAAGGATACTGAAAATGATGGAATATAGGGTTTGAGCCAGGTTTCGGATATTGCTATGATATGATAAAAGTTTTGGGTAAAGTATTGCAGGAATTCGTCATAATGGGCAGAAAGGGATTGAGAGTTAACCTGACATATGATTAGGGAACTAGACATACAGAGGATTTGGAGAGAGACAGTCAGTGTTTGGTAGCGAGAAGACAAAACGAATAGAAAGTACATAAAAGCGATTATAGTACATGAGTGAAGTGAAGAAAAAGTGTATATATTAAAAAGATGAAATAAAGAAAAGAAAATGTACTTAAAAATACATAAATTGGTGTGTGACGGTGTAGAGATAGCACTAGGAGAAGAAGTAAGACCATTTTAATGTGGCTAAGGGGTTGACGGCTTCTAGGTAGTCAGTCAAATACATCTAGATCCGAGGCCTGTTCTATGAGGATGACTCTATGTCCGTCCTCTTTTCGACACCGCACCTTTCCAGAAGCAAACCACGTATATTTGATTTTTCCCGCCGCTCTCTTCTGCCGGGCTAGCCAATAGAGGTGTCTGTTTGTGCGAGTCATCTCTTCACTCAGATAAATTCGGTGGCAGTCATTTTCCTGCCAGCCGATATCCCGTGTGGAGAAATCCCTCTTCACTTTCCTTTTCTAAATCAAATCATCTCTAATTGATTTCCTGACAAAGCGTGAGATAACAGGCGGCGGTCGCGAGTCATCTTTTCGGCTTCTGCGGCGATGTACGTTGTCCAGGTCCTCCACATTAAGCCTGATCCCTAAGCTTGCTTCTATACTGGTCACCAAAGCAGCGGGCGTTTCGCCCGTTCGCTCTGGTATACCGCGGATCTCCAGTGATCTACTTAATAGTCCCTGTTCTGAGTTATTCAAGCGAACCTCTAATTCGCCCACTCGGGATTTCAGTGCTTTATTTTCTAATATTATCTCCTCAAACTTTTTAGCTTGACCTTCCAGATGTTTTTCAATCTTCGTCAGTCTTTCGTTTAGTTCAAAACTGAGCTCTCCGTATTTATCTAGTGCTGTTTTTATGTTTTTTATATCCTCGTTCACGGTGGCGTCTAAACGATTTACTGCCACAAGTATTTCTGAGGGAGACGGCTCGGTATTTCGGTATTATGTTTAACTAAGGCTTACGCATGCGCGGAGCTGCCTGAACAGTAAGAACTTAAGGTATACTCATGATTATAAGTTTATGAAGATGAAACCAAACCTATCACGTTAAACGCTAAAACGTATTACTATGAAATACTACCTATTAATAAACTAAATATGTCACTAAAACAACGAAATTAAATTTCTAAACTAAAATATAACAGTTTTGAGATGGCGCAAATCAAAACGTTGACACCATATGGTCGAACCCTCTTATAAAATAATTTTTCTGCTCTTTAAAATGTTTTTTATTTTATTTTTTTATACCAGTACTGTAACAGTTATAAATAATGTTGAATGGCCAGTATGGCAGCCAGGGGTGCCATCCCGCTCCTCTCCCTCCCCCCTCAAGGTCGATGGTGCAAAAACCTATCTCGCTATCCCAAGTTATTTTATGACTCACCTTTTCTTAAAAACAGAACAAGCGAAGGTAGAATAGAAAAACCGTAGATCAAATACAATTACACATTCTGCGGTATGTTCCATGTTTTCCCCTTGTCTCTTAACATTCGGAAAACTTTTCATTCTGAAAATTCATAATCCCGGCAAAATCTGCCCCCCTCAAAAATTCAAAAACCTACCAAAATATGCGCCCCTCAAATATTTTGATAGCGCAAGTTCTGTGGAGAATATATGTGTCTTCTACAGTGATCACAATTAATCTGATGGGCTAAGTTTAGTATCCTATGTATAAATAATGAACAAAAGAAGTGCATGTTGTAGTATCCTATGTATAAATAATGAACAAAAGAAGTGCATGTTGATCGATCCCTACGGTACTGCGGTCCTTATGAGGTTTATATGTAAAAAGATAGGAGGAGAACTGACCCAGAGACGCTCTAATCAATACACTTAATATAAATACACTTATATATCTTACAATGTTTTCTTGCGAGTATCCTCTGACAGGTATCTGTCTTAATTAGATGCAAACCAACGACCTTCAAACCAGAAAAAGATCTGGCGGTAGAGAGCCCCCATCCATAAGCTTTGCATTCTGTTCTGGCCTCTATATAATTATCAAGTATTACTGAAGTTTCTGTTAAGTTTCCTTCGGGCAATTTACCAGGTTGAGTTTTCATGTTGAACACAAGATCTCTTGCCACGGCAATAGTCCCAATATCATTAAATAATTTTCTAGCATTAAAATCTGGGTGGACGAAAAATTTTTTTACCCAAGTAATATTTCCTTGTCCTGCATATGTACTTCCAGTGCTGACTAGATGCTTCTTCGGCGATGCAATTGCATAGGATTTATTCCCTTTATTCTCGTCACCTAAAAGTAAAAATTACTTAATAATTCGCAATCATTCACTAATTGTTCTCGGATTAATATAATTTTATGTAAAAATAACCGTGGTGTCCCAATATGAAGGAACATGTTATTCACGTTCCTGATTAGCTCATAATACTTGTAATTGATAAAATTAGTCACTGGTTGTTCAAAGTACGTATGACCTTGGGTAAGTTTTGATATTATATATATATATATATATATATATATATATATATATATATATATTCCCGGTTGGCACTACAGACCATGAAGATCTTTGGCCGCGAGATGTGGTATCCTTACAGACGTGTGATACTTGCGGGAGCCAAGACAGCCTGGAGGGGGTCACCCAACCTCACGTTGCTACGAGCCATGGTTTCCATGGTGCAGCGGCAGGCCACCAGTAGCTCTAAAGCCGATCGCTTTGGGGCCAATCTGGCAATGTCCTTCCCACCGACTTTCTCGGGTTCAAGGACATGACAAATCGGTCTAGATCCATGGATTATGGCTGCTCGGAGTCAGCAGGCGCACGGGGACCTATATTTCTTTCCCCGAAACAGATTGTCCATGTGCCGAACCTCAGGGGGCTATTAACATCCAAGTAAACCACATCCCGATTCCCGATTAAGTACACGGCTACCCCATCCCCACATATATATATATATATATATATATATATATATATATATATATATATATATATATATATATATATAATATATATATATATATCAATATAAGTAGTATATTGATTTATGTATATATAAATATATATATATATATATATATATAAGATAAAGACCGGAGACTGGCGGTATCAGCCTTAATACTATCTGGTAATGTAAATAAACAGGCTAAGTGTATATAAGGAGGCTTATGGAACGAATAAAGCAGTGTTATTTCAGAAGTCGTGTATGTTACATCTTTTCCCTTTTCCTTCTTTTTTTTTATTTCTTAAGTCCGACGACGCTTAACTGGTGCCGAAACCCGGGACAACGTCAGGGAAGTAATTTTTTTTTAAGTAGATATTTTTTTTTTTTTGGTGTTTAAGGAAAAGGTGAAATGCCGACAGAAGGATTGATTAGACCGGGAGTACTAAGCGTACCGGAAATTCCTCAACCTCAGGATATTCCACAGATCAATCAGGTACCCCAGATCGCGCCTCAGGTACCTCAGATACCTCAAGTCCCTCAGGTAGCACAGATCCCTCAGATCCAGGAGATCCCTCCATTACCAAGGGACACGTTGGCAGAAGCACACGCCAATGCCTTGGAATGGATGAAAATAAGAGCAACAACCACGCAGGACTTACGGAGGGCCATTGCGGACCTAGAACGATTCGGAGGCGAGGTAGGCGAGCTCAACCATTTCTTGAAAGGCGGAGATCGTCTTATGTCAAGAATCGAGGTGAAGGTGGCGGAGGACCTGGTGAACCTAGGGGACGCGGAAGAACTAAAAGCAGCTCTTGTGTGCCGAGTAAGGAGGAACGTCCTGAACCAGATCCAAGCGGACGAGGAGACTCCGTGGCCGGTGATTAAGGAGCGGCTGAAAAAGGCTTTTGGAGGAGGTAGGTGGACACCGGAAGAGGACATATTCCAAATGTTTAGGGAGCGGCGGGCCCAACGACAGTCAAGGGGGCAATATGCGGGAGTACTCGTGGCGAAGTACAATCGCATAACCGAGAAGATGCGGGAAACAATGAGCGTGGGAGAGGTCGAAGCCAGGATGGAGTTTCTGTCGACAATATTGAAAGTCCAGCTGGCTAAAGAAACGGGGAAGAGGGACGGACTGCCCAGAGAGAGATCGTTCCTCGAATGCGCCCAGGAGATGATCGACCTAAGTGCCAGAGAGGAGGAGACACGGATGGATGTGGAAGAACCGGGTTGGACCCGAGTGACGGATAGACGACCATGGACAGCCCCGACAGGTTGGAAGAAGAGGGACACGAGGCAGCCGAGTGGAGAAAAAGCCCCGACGAGGGAAAGAAGATCGGGACAGTCGTCGAGGCCGAGGAATGGGCCCCGGAGGGAAGAGAGAAAATGTCACGGGTGTGGGAAGCCGGGACATTTAGTAGCGCAATGTCCGCGCACCAGATGCTTCGAGTGCGGGACGGAAGGGCACATAGCGAGGCAGTGCCCATACATATTTCACAGGAGGGAGAGACCTCAGGACGAACCCATGGAGGTGAATGTGCAGAGGATGAGAAGACGAGCCAGGGTACATCAGCGGGACGGATCTTCGGAGGAGGCAACCGAGGAGTCAGGAGCGTCGGGAACGGAGACGGACGAACCAGGCAGCAGCGGAGGTGAAGGAGGTAGGCGCAGCCAACGGAGTGAGCAGCGACGAGCGGCGGCAGAAAGGAGGAAGCGGGACGACATCTGAGGAGTGTGTCGGCAGAGAGGCGACCGCACAGCAATATGCAACAACATCCGAGGTAAGCCATGCTGGTTGCCAATTATCGAAGTAGACGGGGGAGTAAAGTGTCTTGTGGACACGGGTAGCTCGAGCACTATTATGACTCGAAGGGCGTTAGGAAAAGGGTGCGGGAGCGAGAGGGTACTCCGGATACAGAAATGTGACTGCCAGCTGATCACTCTGGGTGGTCCCTGTAGTGTAGAGGGTGAGGCGACAATTGGGCTTGATCGGTGGACAGGGAAAGAGGGTGAGCTAACGGTGCATGTGGTGGAGAACATGACTCGGGAATACCAAGTCATAGTAGGGTGCGATTTGTTAGGTCAGGTAGGGGCGAGCATTAGAAATCGTAGAGGAGTCTGGAGCGTTAGGTTAGGAAAGAGGAAGTTCGGATGTATAGGGGTCGCGAGAGAAAGAAGGGTGCGGATAGGAGCGGTGGACAGAGTGGAGGACTGGAGGAAGTTGCTACAAGAGGAGTTTAGGGATATCTTCTTCAGGGAAGGTGAGGTATTAGGAGTAACAGGGAGGACGGTGCACGAAATCCCACTGAAACAGGAGAGGGTAACTTACGTGAAAGAGAGAAGATACCCGCAGGCGTTGAGACAGCATATTCGGGAGGAGCTAGATAGTCTAAAAGAACAGGGAATCATAGTTGATAGCACCTCACCATTCAATAGTCCCCTGTGGGCGGTGAAAAAGAAGGCAGCGCCGGGGGATAATAAGGAAAAATACAGGGTGGTAGTAGACTATCGTAAATTGAACGATAACACGGTAGACGAGAAGTACCCGATCCCGAGATTCGAGGATATACTCGATAGGTTGAGTGGGGCCGTGGTCTTTAGCACGCTGGACCTCAAGGCGGGATACCACCAAATACGGATGCACCCGGAAGACCAACACAAAACAGCGTTCACATTTGAAAGGGGGCATTATGAATTCACCAGGATGCCGTTTGGTCTGAAGAATGCGCCCATAACATTTCAGCGTCTGATGGACGAATTTTTGAGGGGCATCGATGACTCGGTATGCCAGGTATACATGGATGACCTGCTGATTTTTAGCAGAACGGAAACCGAGCACGTGGGACATCTGAGGGCAGTATTCGAAAGGCTCCGGCAATTCGGGCTGAAATTGTCAAGCGAGAAGTCTCTGCTGGGACAAACGCGGATCAATTTTTTAGGCCACACTATCTCTAGCGAGGGGGTCAGACCGGATGCGGCAAAGGTGGAGGCAATCACGCGGATGGCGGTACCACGGGACGTCAAGGGGATTCGTAGGCTTCTCGGGACGCTGAATTATTACCGGAGATTCGTACCCGAGATGGCAGAGTATTTGGTACCCATTAACAATTTGTTGAAGAAAGGCGCGAAGATTGTGGTGACACCAGAGATGGAGAATAACATTCGAAAATGTATGAATAGGTTGCTGACGGAGCCGGTGTTAGCGTTTCCGGATTTCGAGAAGCTTTTTAATATAACCACTGATGCGAGTGAATACGCGCTAGGGGCCGTTTTGTCCCAGGGGGGGAGTGAGGGTGAACGACCGATAGCATACGCGAGCCGTCGGCTTACGGGTGCGGAATCAAGGTACAGCGCTTTGGAGAGGGAGCTACTCGCGATAGTATGGGCTATCGACCATTTCAGGCCATACGTATTCGGGAGAAAATTTCGAGTCCATACCGACCACAAACCCCTCCAGTGGGTAGGAAAACTCAAGGAAACCTCAGCTAGGGTCACAAGATGGAAGGAGATCCTAAGCCAATACAACATAGAGGTGGTGTATAAGCCGGGAAAGGAAAACGTGGTGGCAGACTGGCTCTCGAGGGCCATCATGATCAACGCGGTTGAAGAGGACAGGGGAGGACCATCGCAGGACGTGCGCCAATTCTTGAGGGAATGGACTCCCGATGGCGAAGGGGCAAATGACACCGCAGGGATTGAGGACAGGGGAGATTCCCCAGAAGAGGAGAGCTCAGCGGAAGAAAGGGCAGCGGAGATGGAAGAAATAGAGGAGATCGTGAACGACAAACACCGTCAGGTGATTTGGAAGACACGAACAACCGGAATCATGAAGATCGATTTCAGAAGGTACGGGAGAAGTAGGATCCGCGTCATTTGGTCGCAGCCCGGGGTCAGCGAAGAGCAAATCTGTACGGCACTGAGGGATGCCTCGGAAGCGGGTAAAACGCACTACCTATACGTAGGAAACAATACGGTATGGGATAAGATCAAGCGAATGTGGAGGTCCGAGCGAATAGGCGTGGACAGGACATTCATCCGGTGCAAGTATGCTGTGGAGACGGTACAGGACGAAGAGCAGCAGCAAGCAATCACAGTAGCATATCACCAGGGGAAAACCAATCACCGAGGCGTTAATGAGACGCTGCAGGCATTGCGTCGGAAGTATTTCTGGTGGGGCATGAAGAGGTCCATCCAGGAAGTCATTGGGAAATGCGAGATATGCATGCGCACAAAATACGATCGACACCCCCCCAGAGGAGTTCAGGAGGAGACACCTACAGGGAATATGCCGCTACAGGACCTTCAGATTGACACGTTTACCTGGAAAGGGTTTAAGTGGGTCACGGT